AATTTTCAAGCACTCTTAAGGAATACTTCACGCTTTGATAGATGAGGACTCTTCTCGTAGTAGTGGCAAATAGTGTTAAATTTAACAATCATATTATGGAATACCATGAAAATATGTGCACATTTTCTAATTCTACTGATTTCTCAATTGAAATTAGTTACGTCATTTGTATTGCTTATTGGGACTAATATTAAATGCTATGATGATTTAATTCTTCATTCGACTTGCTTCAAGTAAAATTGCATTAAAAGTACATTAAATTTCCAATGAAATTTTGAAGGTCAAATGGGAGTACTTTTTAATCAAGTCACCTGGCTATGTAGTAACAAGGATGATATTTTAGTTAGTTTTTGACAGGTAAATGTGAATAGCAAAGTGACACCTGAGATCATTACTTTGACAAGAAATTATTGATTGGCAATTGCCGGCAGAAAAAGAAAACGTGCACTTGGAAAAATTATGACGATTAAGGCTGAATTTCTCACAGGATGGCGTGTTGATGGCAGCGACATTCAACACGCCATCCGATACACCTGTCGACAGACTGAAACTTACTCTCTCTCTCTCCAATCTTTTCAAAATTTGGAAAGCTAAACTATTTTCCCCACAAGAAGGTACTTCCTTTTTGCGGTAGGGGATTATAATTCTACTGAATTTCCGCCTATAAATTGTTACATTTTGGCTTATGGCAATCGGGTAATTAAGGAGAGTACTTTGTACCAACTATTGATCTCTAGGATTTGTGGCTATTTTGAGGAAGGGTTAAATTCAAACAGCCTCGATGTCAATTTTCGCCCGAACTTCCATTGTTAGTTTGTGTGGAGCATTCTCGGAAGTAGAGCAGTTTTAGAACCTTCCAATGATGGTTCTAGCAGATATATAGACACATTGCCAATTTATAAAAATTGACAGTACAGAGGAGATATTTTTACGCCAAAGCGATCTCTTAGCTAAATGTTAGCACAAACATCGTTAGTTTGTCGTCGTGGAACGAAAAGTGGGTTCAATTACACACCCACACATACACCCACATACACAAAAGATTGAAACTCTTTTCTACATACGTATCGGTCTCCGATGAGTTTTCTGAAACTTACTCTCTCTCTCTCTCTCAAAACGCTTTGGCAATATCCTTATTAACCTGTCCTGTCCTGCGCTAACTTTAATTTCTACTTTTGTTTCAATAATTTCTTTATTCCCTTGGTCATATCAAATCATTATAGACGATTTCACCATTTCAATCGCGTTATTTTCCAAGTGGTTGAGAAGACGAATAATTCTTAAATGATATTGAACAACTTTCAGTCTTAACCCTTTGACGTCCTACAGGACCTTACGTTCCTCTTTCAAACTAATCCCTTTTGGTACTAGACTCGTAAAAGGAGGCGCTGCTGTCACGCTTGATACATGTCCAATACGTGTTCATAACCTTCGCATGATACACCACTAAAACTGATCAAGTCGGGAGCGTAGGGTCTGCTGTGAGTCATACGTGAGTGCGATTGGGTACATTTTTTCAAAAAATTTATTTCAAATGGCAGGCGTTTTGATAATTATCATTAGCCCTGGAGCTGACTTCGGGCTTTACAGAGGGAAGGTTCATCAAAGTAGCAGAAAGTCGTGGAGTGGGGAACAGAAGAGCGATTCACAGGTGTAAATGAGGCAGGCAGACACAAAGGTAGAGGAAAAGGTAAGGTGAGTATTGTTAATGGGGCCAAATATGACAACCAGGGGGGTCGTGGTAGTTTGAAGTTAGA